CTGGCAGGAAAACCCTTTGGGAAACTGAAGCACCTTTATTCTRCCAGGGTTAAAAGCAAACACTTGCATTGCAGAACTCAACCCAGGTRAGACCAGAATTGTACATGGTTTCACAACAGAGGTAAAATAGGCACAGAGTGGTCTCATGCCAAGACTAACGCCCCCCTCCTCCAGCACAGGAAGTAAAAGATGGGGAAGAATAAACACGTAAAGGGTACATGGAAGGAAGAAACAGTCACAGTCCCAGTCAGAGATGGCAAAGCAGCTACTCATGTTCGGGTTACCACTACTAGAATGGTAAAAATAAGATAATACTTTGAAAGACAGCAAACAAACAAATGCATTTGGATTTCTGATTAACCTCTGCAACTCCTCACACCTTTCCATCAAATTATCACAGCATCCACRTCTGCCTGCAGACACGTACACACTCTGCTGTGAGCCCTTGATTACCTTCACAACAAACACTGGCTCTTACAGAGTCCCAGATCATCAAGGCTTGTGCACAACCTCATCCTGTCCAATACCACACCACATGCTTAATTCACATCAGCCTCAATGGGATTCACAGCACTGCTTACTTTGCTGAACAGAGGAAGGATTATTCATATTTAATCACATGCAGATTGTAAGCCATCTCCTGCAAGGACCTGACCTCCAAGAAGCTGCTAACACTGCTTGTCAGCAGAAAGCCTGAAGGAGAAACAGTGAAAGAAGATAAGCACCCCCTGAAATACCAGTGGCTGCAAAAGGTTCGTTTTAAATCCCATGACTTATGTGAAAGTAAATACTTGACTGGGCTTGCATGGTCAAGAGCATCTCCTAAGAAATGTTCCTCAAAGCACAGAAGAGTAACTGCTGTTACAGACATGATATCAAAGCCACTGTGTTACTGCTCTTGCTTCAGGAATTTTCATGGAAACGGCCCTCTGACAATCTGAACTCATTTCCCTTGCTGGTGGCTGGTGCTTGTTTCTGCTGGCATACAAAGACACAAGAATTGTGAAATACATTAGTCAGGTGCTACTGCAGCCTGTGTGTCTCATGGCAGCTCYCCAGGCCCTAATAATCAGAATTGAAAAGGGCTACTGAAAATGAAAGCAATTTCCACAAATCATCTTTTCAAACACAAACASCAGTTGCAGACGGAGTTTTCTGGATTCTTGGAAGCACATGTTTACGTGACTATGTTTATCTGTTCCAAGCTATTCCTCCCTTGCCCCTTCCTGAAATTATTTTTATTTAATTGGCACYGAACAGCAGACATTGGTTTCAGAGACAGTAAGTGGTGAATACAGGGGAGATAACTTCATATTAAATACCCTGGCATCAGAGAACCTTTTCATTTCACTGAATTAACAGCTGTATTATCACAATTATTACAATTCATCAACTACTACAAACCTTTCCCTGCATTATTAATCCTTATCACTTGCAATCTTACAATAAAATAAGGAAACTCATTTTCTCTCAGGTTCCTTATCAACACCAAACAATTCCTTTATGCAAAACAGATCCTGCATATAACTGGCTTCAAGAAGTGAAAATACTGCAGATTTGAGTCAACATTTCCCCAGCTTTCAAGTGTGTGCAGCAGGAGCTACTGTGACTGTAAGAAAGATGATGCTATTCCAAACAAGGAACACGATTCCCACTAGAGCACATATGCAAAAAGAGCTCCTGTTGCTATTCAAGATTATTCACTGAGATTACCAGGACTGAGCCTCTCAAGAGCACCACAGARGTTCCTGTTATGTTCACATCTGCGTGGGCCTGGCTCATCTCAGAAGAGTGAAACCCATGCAGTGTGTACAGCATGTACAGATTATCATTCTGCTCCCAGGCCACGGTTGTGAGTCCCTCACAGCAGGATGTATTACTCAACAAAGCAACTCCAGTTGACAAACCCTATTAGCAGTTGATGAGGCCATTTCCGCACCCCCGAACTGGGGAAAAAAAAAAGAACCTTACAAAAGGAGAGCAATTCAAAGATTTATTAACCACTGTTTCCCACCTGAACTTGCTCCTASCTCCCCAGCTGGATAACCAGTACTTGGGGAATTTGTGCTCTGCATCATATTGGAGAACTTAGTGCTGTGGAAAACAACATACCAGAAGACTTTGTAATTCCTTCCTTTCATAACCACTGGGGGYAAAAGGAAAAATGGAGACTTTTAGACAAACAAATTTTACAATCTTGATTAAAACCACAGCAGACCAAAAAAAAAAAAATAAAAAAAATCTTGAGTCACTCAACCACGCAGGAAAATGCGTAACTGAATAAACTCAGAACTTGACTCAGGATTTTTACAGACTGTATTTCAAATTCGTCTTAAGATTAAATGCTGTCAATATTAGCTTGGAAGAAAACGGATGTTGTTGCCTTTTTGAAAGATTGTAAAGGCTGCAGACAAAGATAAACTGAAACACATACCTATGCTAAGAATTTTATTCTTAAAACATGAGGCAGGATCTGTCATTACCTTGGGAAAGGTGCAGAAAATGCACTGTGTTGAAAAATGAGAAAGCTAGACTAGTGACAAACTCTCTGGAGGCTGGACACCTGCTGMAGTAGGAGATGGAGCACAGTAATGACTCCAGATCCATTAAGCTGGACTGGTGCACCTGCAGGTTGCTATAGCAAGGCTCATTCACTTGGCAAACCACAACCTAATTACACATGGGTGTCACAAAGCACTCTGGTGTCGTCAAGCATTTTTCAGCTTTATGTCCTTATCTGGAAACAAATGAGATTGAAGCAGTCTTGGGGKATTCTGTAAAGCAAAAAAGGAAACACAGTCAGCTTGGAACCAAGTGCAAAGCCAAACCATTTACAGAACAGGAAGGACCCAGAAAGACTGCAAGGAGCTTTACAGATGAGAAATAACACTGTCACAAGGTAATACTTACATTGATAAACTGCTTGTTATGAGAACCTGGTATATAYGTTGCTACCTGTCCCAAGATTTGCAAGAGTTCTCGCCTCAATTTTTTTTCAGCAGATTGAAAAACTGTCATGCTGCTTCAGTCACACTAGGAATTTCTCAGAGGCCAAGTTCTAGCCTGCCAATTAGAATGTCACACATCCAAGCATAAACATTAACTACACAGCAGTTGACAGTCAGCTTTGCCAAAGTACTAAAGTTACTCACACTTATCTGAGTGGGCATCTGATAACGAAGGGTTTGTCAGTTTTAGAGTTAAAAAAACAGAGGAAATCTCTTAGGCTTCTGAATAACTGTTGCTGGATTTTCTTGGGGAAAAAAAAATTGTTCCTTGTTTCACGCAGCCTGATTAAGGTTCCATGTTGTGCTCTAAGTGCCAGCTCTCAGCACAGCAGCCACTAAAAAAAGAATCTATTAAATCAGAATTAAATTTTTGACCCTACAGTTACTGTCTTTGCTGTATCATGCCTATTATTTGTACAAACGTCAACAGACTTCRTCTGTCTAGAAATATTTTTTTAAGCAGCAGAATTACTTTAGAGCATTTCCTTCTGCTGTGCTTCCTTTTAATTATAGATTCCTAAAACAGGGGGAAGGGAAATGGAAGTCTTGTATAATACCACACTATTATGTGAAATAAGAAATAGGACTTACCCTAGTGATGCATTCCTCCTGAATTCCCCTTGTGAATTGCTTGTCTTCTCTGATGCCAGATCTGTGYGTGCCCAACAGCAAGAGCACACACAGAAGGAGATCCATACTCACTTTTTCCCAAGGAAAGCATGAGGCAGTAAAAGCCTGGATGCAGTCCCAAGCAAGTTACCCTCTGACATAAGCCTGGACGTTGGTCTCCAGCTGCTGCAYCCTGCAGCATGTTCTGCATGAGCAGATCATTCTACAGGACAGCATCAGCCCTGTGCACTGGGGTGGGAATTAGCAAGAAGCTTAGTTTTAAAGCAAACTCTGCAAAACCGTATTATCCAAGTTTTCCAAAACTTGGATGTTACAAATTCATGAACTGAATGAAGTCCTTCACCTAACCCCTAAAATAGGGKTTATTTCCTGCTGTGAATGGCTTCACTTTTAGGGAAGCAGTGAAATACCTTGGTATGCAAGAGTTTGTTCCACAGTTTAGGTATGGCTGCACTGTATTGGCAGGGAGTCTATGTTTTGAATGCATTTTAGAATCACAAAATTTATAGATGTCATTATACTTAGCAAGAGCTTAAATAGCAGGAGAGCAACTAAAGCAAGACTGTTCATCACAGCTGGCAGCTTTGTTTTCCTTGAGAACTCAGTCACTCCTGTAATTAGATTTCTAGACTGAAGCTATTAAGGATCCCCAGGCTAGCTCAATTCTCTAGAGATCAGGAGCAGTTCCAGTGTTTGATCCAGCATTTCATTGTGTTCCACCATCAGCTTGCGCTTGCTGCTATKAAGTCAGAACACATTTTTAGGTTGAGAGGATGTAAAGTCCTATGATCATGCTAATCCTAGAGCTGGTCTTCACTTCCAGCTAACTTACCCAAATTTATTTTGACTGACAAAGAACTGGCTACAAAATAGAAGTACTATTTTCCTGGAAAAGGGCAAGCTAGCTGCTTAGTTCCTGCTATGAGTAAGTCTGGACAGAGTGGAGATTTGCCTGAACTCATTAGCTGCCCAGCATTTCAAGCTGAACTGTGAGTGCTGATCAGTACAAAGTTGAGRCTGGCATGTTACAGCAACACTTGGATACTCTGGCATCCATCAGGAAGGTGGAACCACATCCCTTTGCCACTGCTTTCACAGTGTGGTGACCAAGAGAGACAACACACTCATGAGAATTGTGCCGAAGCACAGTCTGCTGTTCCTGATTGCACAGCCCTGACAATCTCCACTGGTTTGCATTTAAAGGTGTTTTGCTCTGCTCCAAGTAGGACTCCGTATGAAAAGGCACAGCTTACCAAAACCACTGCTGTATGGATGTATCTCAGCAGAGAAGATTCTCATTGCAGCAGCTCCCTCCACACAGGACTGAAGCTCTCCCAGCCCCGTGAATGAAAGCATGTGACCATGTCCTGCAGTACACCCTCCCCACGTGACAGCGTGTGCCGATGTGTCCGGTGAAGAGACCACAACTCCCTTTCCATCATGCCTTGGCAAAGTCTCCCTTTTCCTGCCTGGCATCCTTAGTTGTCAGATTAAGCAACCTGATGCTATGAGTGGTAGTGTATTACTACCAGCCAGTCCCCACACCCAAGATATTAAGACTAGAACCACACGGTGGATACTGCAGTTTTACATTTATAGTTGGACTTTTATAATATTCAAGATTAGCACAAGATTCATAACCATAAATTATACATTGTTATCTAAGTACATAAAACGTTAATGATACATGTATTTGAAGTGGCACAAAGTAATAATACATCCCTGTTGGCATTCTCAAAGGAAGAGGTGGGTGATGGAGACGCTGTCAATCCTACTGCAGCATAGCAGAACTGAGTCAGTGCACCCTGTTCACTCAGGTGGTGCTGACTCTGCCCACCAGACAGGGTCAGAACATGGTGTGGCAGGAAGCCAATGCCAGAATCAGTTAAAGGTGCAAATAAAAAGTCAGGATTATGGCCCTCCCTACTGCCTCAATACAGTAGCAGTGTGTCCYCCTCCCCAACCCTGACGCTGTGCTCTTGCATCTCCAGTACTTTGGCAGCCCATGCACACTCCTATGTTCTCTTGCCACACACAGCTGAGGTTTGTTTTAGTACCATTTAACGTCAATAAGTAACATGCTCTCTTCTTGTTAAACAAAAAGGATCTGGGAAGTGTTTGCTCTCTGGCATGAGAAGATTTATTTTCTTCAAGTCTCAGATCTACTCCAGAAAATATAGAACAAACTTCAACAGTATTGAACCCCAACAGCATTGAACTCCAACAGCATTATTGTCCAGAAAAGGAAACTTTCCCAATATTCCTCTAAACATTCAGAGCACAAATATTAGAAAAGCCCATTTTCTTTTGCATGTAAGAATGCAAATAAAATGGGGTAGTCAGATGTAGACAAGCTTTCAACAATTTATTAACGAGATGTTTCACTGAGTTGTTAACAACCYTGCTACTTCAGTAGCTTCAGCTAAAGCTTTAACAACTTGGTGCCAGGCAATTTCCCAGCTGCCTTCAATGGGCTGTTCAAAAGAATGAAAATTATGCTCTCTTCCCCCTGGCCTCAAGTAGTTATTGCTATATGAGTTAGTGAAATAGTGCCTTAACTTCAGACAAGAGTCTCACAATGTCATTAACAAAAGCTGCCTTTCAGAGGTTGAAATGTAACCGGACAATAATCAATAAATAACAGTAACAGGCATCCTGCTGAAGTCTCCTCACTGAGCTGCGCAGCAAGTGTATTCAGCCAGCAGAAGGTCATCTGTGCCTTTAAGACCATTGTACACTTCTTGGAGAAGTTAAAAAGGGACGGGAAGGAAGAGAACAGAGACAGTGAAGGTCTGTCAGAGAGCTAGTTACATATTGAAACCATAAACAGGYGGCTGGGTGAATCCTGGTGCTGTGTATCCGTATGGGAAGTTTGCCTGGGGAGGTACTGCACTGGGGCCTGCTGTTAACATCAACTGCTGGCCTAGAAAAGTATGAGACAAAAAGAAAGTTAGTTTAAGATCCCAAGCTCCTCTAGCACTRTGTGACAGGATTATTAGGCTTTAGCTAAAAACCAGCCCCTGTGCAAGCACACACCAGCAAGTCATACTATTCTCCAACATGCACCACAGAAAGGGCACCCAGGCCATCYGCTCTTGCTACCAGGAAGTTACAAAAGCAAGGCAGGACTCAGAGGGAAAATTAATATCAAGTGATCTTGAGGTCACGATAAGCGTGGCTTGTTTTGAAGAGACCATACTGAAAATCGAACTGGTATTATTTAACCCATGCATGGACAGATCGGAAGAGTAAATAAATTCAAGCAAATAGTTAGRTCTGTTAGGTCTCTCAGTCTGGAGGGTGCTGCAAAAGGTCTGAACACACCATGACAGATTTGTTCTCATCACTAGGACCGCACATGCCTCATGCATCTGTTAAATTGAGGTTAACATTTATATCAGACAGTGAACCAGTCACATCCTTCCCTTACCAGCCACTTCTAGGTGCTTGTTAGCAGAAWGCCTCTTCAGAAGGGCTTCTAAAATAGCATCACACTTGAGGACAGCCATGGTGTTTTGGCTGCACATGTCTTAAAATGCGTGAGCTAGAAAGCCAGTCTGCTTTTCTACTTGGAAGAGCAGAAAGCAGACACATTCCTCAGACAGGAATAGGAAGAGGAATTTTCATGCTCTGTAAGTTATTCCTGGGGTTGGCAGCACCCTGGTATCACCTGTCCTATTACCATACTGAAACACTATTCCTAAGGTAGAGTTCTGAACCATGTAAGAGGAGCAATACTTYATCTGAAGACCAGAAGTACTGTAAGAGTGAGATGTCACTTCAACAGCTTATGCAGTTCATCAAGCAGAGATAACCATTTCAGTTACTATCTAGGTGAAACCAGTTTACGTGGGTAGAACAATCATGTAAGCTGCCTCCACAAAGAGAGACCAGTGACAACAGGTAATCAATTAAAACTAAATCTTTCACCTACCAAATACTATTGGAGTGGGTTCAGTTACTTGTTCCTCTTCTTTTCTTAGGCTTTCAGAAGCATCAAGTTTATCCACCTACATTGAAGCGAACAGGAGATTTATGAAGGCTTCGTCTAGGAATTGCACCATTGTGTGAAGCTTTTCATGCCTGGTACCTCARCTATCGAGTGCTCCTTTTTAGTTCAAGTTGGAGACTTCTTAAGTTTGCCTGCTCCCAGCAAGCTTTGTTGTAGAACTGATTTCCCGCTTCTTTAAGTTGTATTGCAATAAGCAACAGCTCTCAAAGGCAGATGAGGTACTCAATACCTTCAAATTAAGCACTTTTTGGGGCCCTATTCTAGTCACTGCTAAATCTGTGACCCAGAACTAAAAATCATCACACTGATCATCTCTCAAATGGGCCTAATCTACATTTATTTATTAACCTGCAATTCCTTATTTATTAACCTGCAATTAGCTCACAGATATTTGCGAATATTCCAGGCCCATTAAGTTTGATCCTATCTAGGACTACAGCCTAACCTGTGTGTAGGGTACTGGTTTAACTGTATTGGTATTCACAGATACTTCTAGAGGAAACTGGAACTCTCATGGAAGGTCTAGTAGTACAGCTTTATACAGATCTCAGTGCTGCACCACACTAAGCTCTGCTCACGCTAAACAAATTTGTGGAAGTGCTACAGTAATGCAGAAGCCCTAAAAACAACTTCAGACTGTGGGAGCAAGCTAAAGAGGCAACAACAGTACCTTCCTTCTCAGGTTTAATGAACTGTATCTTCCAGAAGGGAAACATTAAGACTGAAGACTACAAAGCATACAAGTCACACAGCTTCACATTGTGGTACAGGCAGTACTAACATSCCGGGCAAACGTACATTTAGCCCAATGCTGTATTTCAGGTATTCCTCATTCTCCTTTCCTACTGCAAGAATTGTATCTGGTCTGAGAATTGCTGCAAGAGGGAGCTGTAGCACACATGAGATGTTATTAAGATATGGTGTTTAACAGATTTCTCAACTTTTTGAAGTTTGCAACTCAAATTGACAACCTGAGTGGCAGCAGRTCTATTACTGGGTCATTTATAGCTGCCAACCTAACAGCTCTCCAACATAACACTCAATATTGGTGTTACAAATGTTATCCAAATTACTATGGATCAAAGCAGCTGACAGCTACCTGTTTCCAGCCACCTGTCCTCCTTTACTTATCCCTGGCCTCGGCTCTCTCAGGTTCGCCTTTCCCTGGCACTGTCCGACAGTGACTCTGGCCAGCAGCGCAGTCCTGCCCTCAGCTGGGCAAACAGCAGGAATGCCGAGAGCAGCCATCCCCAACAAGGGACGAGCAGCTCTGAGAAAGCAGAAATGCATTTGCTCTGCTGCCTAGAAGAGGTTCAAAAGGTTTCTAGGTGAGGGTCATTATATTCCATGTGCCTGACTCCTTCTAGGACAGGGCTGTTCTGTACTGTAACTTTTTTTTTTTAAATGCAGAAAAGACAGGTAAGTTTTTCACCCCACTGAAACTAGTCTATTCTTTTATGCTTTTGAAGTTAGTCACATGACAGTTTTAGACATACCACATTGATAAAGCCCATTCTCCAATTCCGTGTTTTRCAGTTAATTCAACAGACTAAATTAGTTTCACTGTAAACCACTTTCATCATGCAGATTTTCCTTCTGGCAAGTTATCCCACATTTAGTACACATGATTACTTGTAAATCCAACCAGCAGTTTAAAATAAATTATTTTAGACCTAAACCTCGCACGTAAGAGTGCAGGTAAACTTGTGTGGCAAGTTTCTCCTGAGTGAAACACAAGGAGTTGGAGGCTTTTAAGATGTGTGCAAGTACTTTCACCATGCCAACAGGCAAGAAGTTTACAAAAGGTTCACGGCACTATTCAAACTCACCATCATGCTTGAATTACTGCACACTTGGGTAATTTAGAGTGCAACAAGCAATTTGCCTTTGGWACACATCCTGTTACATGTCAACTGCTTTTCTTTTTTATGAAAAGTATCCTCCCTGCCACAAGATATCTAATACAGTGAACAGGAGCCCAAACTAGAGCCCTCTTCAAGCACTTGACTTTGTTTCCCATGAGGAGGAGGWGTCTGGTTGGATTTTCAAGTTGCTTGTGAATAGTTATCCTTTTAGCATTAGAAAGTGAACAGGAAATGAGTTAGAGCTAAATTACACTGCTCTTCTGGCAGAAGCTACAGCTAGATTCCTGTAAAAGAAACCTAGGATATTGAGGGACACATGAAAACAGAGAATTTGAAATCAGAGGGTCACCTTATAGAAYAGTCCATCAACCTGCAAGAAAATTCAGAGGGGAATACTTAACATGACTTATTAGAAGCAACCTGAAGCAGTCACTTTTATATTGCTCAGTTTAATGAAGGTCTTTACTGTGATGTCCTATGGAATTCTAGAGCCTTCCCTGGCATGATATTAACTTAGTATCTCAAAGCTRTTTGAGACAAGCATTTCAGGACCACACATGATCAGAATCTCTCTTCTCTCAGTTGAGGACCAGCTCTTGGTAGCAATATTGTACAGCCAGACTATGCACTTAAAGTTCTGTTTTCATTTAAAAAAACCAAACACCTTCAGCAGGCTACTTGTATTGGCTGATATAGGAATAATATGCACTATTAGTAACTCAAAAGCCCTTTCATAGTTAAAAAAGGTAAAAGTGATATATGTGGTGTCCTCACCAAGTTTTCAGTTCATCAACTATGGAGCTACTGTGAGAAGCACAGTTGGCTCATGTCTACTGTTAAAAGAAGTAGTTTAACTAGACCTTTCCAAGGGCCAAGGCATCTATTTATAAATTTTGCTAGCTAGCCTGGAGTGATGAAACCCACAGAACCTCAATAAGACTTTGTCTATGAGGAATGGCAAAATTCCAAATATATGCAAAGAGCTCTGGTTTACATAATGCTAATTACACAGCAGACTGAARTCTCAGCTTTTTAGCCTATGCAATACTCACTTTGGTAAGATACTCTCTCATCACTTGGATGAAATAAGGCATTGCAAAGTCCATGATGTTATGTCTCCATGCCAACTCAAGGACTACATCTGGGTGCAGCAAGTCATAGCATGTGAAAAGGCAGGCTGCAAAGCACTCCTGCTTGCCTTCTTCCAAGAACCACTGGAGCAGCTTCTCAGCCAGCTCTGCATCTTTGGACTCTGCAGCATACTGCATAGCATCCTACAGAAGAGAACAATAGTTAAGCTTGACCCTTGCCTGTCAACRTCTTCCATGCATGTTACTGCTAGCTAGATAAGCCAGGTATTTGGCATACCATGAAGTCAGTCTTTAACAACACCAGGCATGGTCTGTAAGGAAGCAATACACCAAACACACCAACTCTGAGGCAAGCCACTTCATTAACATTATCCCAACAGCTTTTCTACAAAGTGGGCACAAGCCTGTGTGACCTCACTATGGGCTTGAAGACCATACCAATGTAATCACGTTTCATCTGCACCCTTACAAGAACCTATGATTTGAGTTCTATGGAGAATGTTCCATACTAATACAGGTAACTGTACAGATGCTGTTGATAAATAAGAGATCAATCCCCAAGTACAGGACAACATTATGAAACTATTTTTAAAGCATGCATTTGAAACTGCAAACCCTTCTACTTTAAGAGTCTTTCCTTAAACTTCACTTGAAGGGCTACTAATTAGAACTCCAGATTCCAAACTAACAAACATTCAGTATCCAGGAGATTTCCGCTTCATAGCCCAGACTTCTCAGCCAGAGTCAKAAACTCACCTTATACAGACGGTCTTTCTTGCACAGCTCCACACTCTGTTTCCAGCGGTTGTTACCCTTGTACAAGTATGCTGCAATACGCCTAAATTCAATTAGTTCATGCTTTTCCAGACGCTGAGCCAACGTTATGTTATCGAAGTTGTCATAGGCATCAATGGAAGCTCTCAGACCCTGTTTGAGAGAGAGTTGTTACACATGCTTCCAGATGGCTGCAGGWGAGAACTAGAGTAGAGAAGCATCTAATCRTGGTGCACAAGTGTTTAAATTCTGCCAGCTGGATGTTGATACTATGGTTACACGTTCCTTACGTACCTGTTTCATGCACCTCTCCAAAGGTTATTTTCTAACAAAGCAAGATGTGAACTTGGTACTACTGACTCGAAACAGAAGAGCTAGTTACCTTGAAAAGACAAAGCATGTCTTCCAATTGCAGCCAAGRGGGCCAGAAGCTAATTTATACACTGAAGTACTGCCCACTGAATACACACCTG